AGTGCTTGTAACCATGTGCCACATAGCCCTCTATCTCAATGAGTGCTAGCTAAGTGAGAAAATTTAAGCCTGACAGAGAATAGCTTCTTTTCAGATTGTCTCTGCCTTGGAAATGCAATTTTACTTTTCACTTGTCATCATCCAAACTGACAATGAATGTGCAAGGTATTGTATTAACCACCAATTAAGTAATACTAAATTACTAACACCAAACCCCAAACTAGTTACACTGAATTGGTAACACTAAACCCCGAGTTAGTTACACTAAATTACTAACACTGACCCCCTAATTATTAACACTAGATTGCTAACACACCACTACTTTAACTATGCGACACACTGACACTCTACAATTGCTCTGAACTGTAATTTCCCTATTTGCAGTAGCACTACAATCAAATTGCATTTTATCCCCAAAATGCAAAGCGTGACCACGACCGAAATCCTAAACCTTATTGCACCAAAACCTAATTGTGTTGACTAGGATCTGACCAAATCGAGCGGTTGACGACCGTCAGGACCCTCTTCGTCTTTATCGCCCTGATGGGTGGGTCCGCCCTGTCATAGCACAAGTTAGTTTTTAACCAAACATGCATTTGGGTTTTTTATATATATAAAAAAAACTTTTTGCTGAGTATCAGCGAAAAAAATAGGAAGTTCTACGAAACACTTGTCTTAAAATCGGCAGTGTTATGCTATATACTCGCCCATAGACGCACAACGCCTTGTGGGCGTCGTCTGGCCCGATAATTCTTATTTGACGATGCTCATAAATCGTCAGCATAATGACCCGCAGGCGCATGGGCCAACCCATTTTGGTGCTTCCTCGGCTGCTTTTATCTTATTATTTTCGCTTCTTTCTTTCCTTTTGCTTTTTCTTCTTTTATTTTCACTTTCTAATTTCCTTTTTCGGTCAAAACTTTCATCCTTTTTGATTTTTTCTTTGTACGTGTTTTGTTTGTCAATTCTTTGTGGAACTAAACATTCTTTCGCTAGCCCCACATGAAAGAACATTTTATTTTTCTATAGTATATGCACATATATTTTATAAGTATGCTTATATTTGAAAAACTTATGATTTTTTAGTATATACTAACTTTTTAATTTGTGAATATTTTATTTCTTACACATTAGCAACTTTTATCTAGTGCGCGCACATTTTTTATTTCCTGCAATAATTTTTAATTTTTTTCAAGTAATACTTGACAATTTTTTTTAAGATTTATTAATCAAATACATGTGGTCAAAACAAACAACATAAAAGAAATAACATCGGTTTAATGGGCCATGGCGACAGCCGACCCAAGTACTAGTGTCTTTATGACTGAAAGCCAGTGTGTGGAAGTCATGGATTGTCACCTCGTGTCACTCGGAAGGTTAGATTCCTTGTGGTGGAACCATCCCATCAGAATTCAAATCCTAAACTTGGTATTAGTGGTCGCAATTTTCTGGATTTATTTTAGGCCTTCCGACGATGTGCGTCCAATGGGAGAAGATGTTCTCGTCGATTATGAAGGTGTTTGTGGCGACTTCGTCAATGTTGGGATGATGTGTCGGCTCATTCTCTTGGATGTGCTCGTAGGGGTAGGGTACGTGCGTGCCTTCATATGCATGAGTGTATGTGCGCATGTATGAGTGTCTGGGTCTGTATTGTGTTAAAAAAGATCATGTCAATTTGTTTACATATTTTAGTTTTTGAAAAAATGTATAAATATGTAGGAGTAAGAGCATCTGCAGTCGGGCGCCCCAAACCTATTTCAAACGCCTAGGCGGGCGGCCCGATCACTGACTGGTCACAAAAACCGACCCAGACAGGCGTCTCAAACGGGCCTCAGACGTCGGGGCTGACCGACGCCCTCATATCCAGTTCAAATATGCGGCGGATATGGGGAGCGCGCCCGGACGCATCTGCCACATTGGACTGACGGCCTGGTCCCACACAGAATCGCCCAGAAACCCAACGGTCCGACGGGCGTCTCCTCTGGTGTTGGTGTGAACGTCGCGTGGCACCGCTCTGTCTCGCCGCCCGAGGCTAAATTCCATCTATTTAAGCTGATGGCTTGCACCGAACCCCTGCCCATTCACATTTGCCCCTCCCGTCTGCTGCTGCCACTTTCCGCTCGACGCCCGCCACTTTCCTCTAGTAGCCATGCCCCCATGCCACTGGGCAACATATCTAACGCCGGAGCGCCGGCTGCAGCTCCTTGAGCAGATCTTGGCAAGGAGCGAAGCCTGGATCGCCGCGGGGATACCTCTGAATGCGGTAGATCCGGAGGAGGGGGAGGAGGAGCACGAGGATGGGGAGGAGTAGTAGGAGGAAGAAGAGGAGGACATGGTGGGCACTAGGGTCGCAGATTTGCAGGCGGAGTAGTAGGCGATCCTCGATTCCCTTTAGTCGGAATCGGCGGCGCAGGCCAGGCGCCGTCGTCTATAGGAGGCGGAGAGGGCGTATGCCGTGGACGTCGATGAGATGCTTGCACATATGGATGGGGAGGAATCGGAGTCCTCTGACACACCCAACTACCCGGCACATAGCACAGACGTCGTGGACATCTCCGACGACAAAGCTTAATTTGGGTTAGTATGATGTATGTAGTACGTAGGAACTCTTTTGTATGGTTTTTATGAATTTGTAGGATGAAATATGAGATGCGGATGCATTGAAGGAAGTATGAGGTGTGACCGATCAATGCCCGTGGAGTCCGGCTCTAGGTGCTCTTATGGACAGACAACACAATGATTCGTTCTTTATCGAAAATGCATAGGTAAACATGGCGCCACGCGAGGTCTTTATCTCACCATCCAGTTCTCTCAGATTTGTATCGTATTCATACCATAAGCAGTGCATATCATGTATATTGAATATTCCTCGTTGCAGTATTGGATTTGTATTCCACAAAACAATCAATGCACAAGGGGCCACATGGTTGACAAACGTGACCCAACTCATTTACTAGGAGCAGACCTCATTTACTAGGCACATGTTGGGAACGTTAACTCCATTTGAAGCCTGCACCACCATCTCTCTCCATCCAGCGTTGTTGAAGTTGGAAAGTGAAGTATTTTAGTGTCATCACATGTTTTGGACTATTGATTTACAACTGAAACCTTTACATGTATCAGTTTCTCTGCTATGCATTCATCTCCTCGCATTCATCATTTTCCTCGACTTTGTTCAACTGCTGGTCTTCCCTGCAATTCTTTCTGTAATGTGCTCCTCCATGTTCTAGTCCAGTTTATTAGTTCCTCCAACATGTATTCATTTAGCCTAGGAAGCTCCCCTTTCTCATTTGATGGCCATCATTAGAAGGTGAGTTGGAGGAGCTGACGAACTAATCCTTCCAATGATCTAATCCATCACGTCGCATTAGGTCCTCTCATCGACTCTGGGCGTGCTACCTGTTCAGAATCAGCTGGTGGACATTGCAAGCTCGCCTTTTGCGGGGGCATTGCAAGCTCATGTACTAGGATACCAGCAAGCCTAGGAAACAATAACAAAAACTCGCCCGAGCACATATTTTGAGCGTAGGAAAGGTTTTGCTACAGTAGCAAAATTAATGGGCAGCTAACCTTCTGCTGTCGTTGTAGTTTGATGCCATGGTCATCTTGTTCTGTCTTCTTCCAGCAGGCAGGTTGAAGAAGGTTGTACTAGGGGTGTTATTGTTGTCTGCACTAATTAATCCATCGTGTCTAATTTTAGAGACAAAGAGTTGCTTCGCGTAACCTTCCCGCCATTTTTGTTATTACAACAACGCATGTAGTTTACATTTAACTTTGGGGAGATATCCCATCATCCATGAGGTAATACCTGATGAACCGATGGAGCAGTACACCTCAATTATAGACATGCAAAATGAACTTGGCAAAACAAACCAGCACAGAAACGGCAGGCCCACACTTACTAAGTGCCATTAAAGGGTACCCGTGACACAGAAATGTTTAAACGCAGCCGACCAGGGTTTTTAAATGGCATGACATTAACACAACAGAACAGCTGGAACTGTATTTTGCATGTTTATAAACATTTATCCAACTCCATTTAAGATGGTTAGCCACCAACCTCGTTCAAGTATTCATTCAATCATTATATTAATTTCTAATCTCATAGCATGAATCGTTCTTTATACACAAAAAAAGATACTAGCACACATGTTTTTTTTTACCAGAGATACTGTAGCATACATCTTGATGTAAAGAATCAACGTTGGCTTCTTTGTCACCGCGAGAAAGTTCACTTTCGATCTGCCAGTCCTTGCTGCAGCTTCATCAATAGCGTACCGAACATGGCGGGCATGGATCCCTTCGTGCAATGTCAACATCGCCGCGGCAGCACACATTAATCGTCTGCGTGGTGATCACCACTGACGAGCATCCGATCCGCTCTCTCTAGCTACAGGAACGGGATCTGCGCAACCTGCACGGATAGCAGCCATGGCGCCAACTAAGGACGACGAGCCGCCGCTGCACATCCTCTTCTTCCCTTTCCTCCTTCCTGGCCACCTTATACCGATGGCCGAAATTGCCGCACTCTTCGCCGCTCGCGGCGTCAGGTGCACCGTCCTCACCACGCCCGTCCAAGCCCTCACCATCCGCTCCGTCGTCGACTGCGCGAACAACAGCAGCGCCGCCGGCACCCCGATCTCCATCACCGTCGTGCCTTTCCCCGACGTCGGGCTCCCGCCAGATGATGGACCCCGGCCGTGAAGCGGCCGCGTCAGTGGGCGAAGTTCCAGATCGCCCACGACGCTGACCGGTCGAGCTACGGCGAGATCTTCAACAGCTTCCGCGAGCTGGAACCGGGCTACGCCGAGCACTACCGTGCCACGCAGCTCCGCCGCCGCGTGTGGCTCGTCGGGCCGGTCGGGCTCGTCAGTGGCAGCCTGGAGGACGTCCGGTCAAGAGGCGCCGTCGCCGGCGCGCTCTCGCCGGACGCCGCCGGCTGCCTGCGGTGGCTCGACGCGAACCCGGCCAGCTCGGTGGTGTACGTCTCCTTCGGCTCGATGACCAGCTTCTCGCCGGAGCAGATGCGGGAGCTCGCCCGCGGCGTCGACCTCTCCGGCAAGAACTTCGTGTGGGTCATCGCTAATGACGGCGCCGCCGTATCCTCGGACCCGTGTAAGCCAGGCGGGTTCCCGACGACGAACCGTGGGTACATCGTCCGAGGATGGGCGCCGCAGGTGCTCATCCTGAACCACCCTGCCATCGGCGGGTTCGTGACACACTGCGTCTGGAACTCGACGCTGGAGGCCGTGAACGCCGGCGTGCCGATGGTGACGTGGCCGCGGTACGTCGACCAGTTCTACAACGAGAAGCTGGTCGTGGAGGTCCTCGGGGTGGGCGTGGGCGTCGGCGCCGAGGAGTACGCGTCTAGCGTGGAGACCCACCGGGTGATCGCTGGCGAGGCGATAGCGGAATCCATCCGGAGACTGATGGAGGGGGAGGGCGATGGCGCCGCCATGCGCAAGAAGGCGAAGGAGCTCGGCGTGATGGCAAGGGGCGCGGTGGAGAAGGGTGGGTCATCATACGATGACGCCGGACAGTTCATGGAGGAGTTGATCGCCCGCCGGAGTTCCGTCGGATGTACCGCCGATGGCTAATGGTGATCCTCTAGCTGTCACTCGATTTCGCAGTTCGTCGGTTAGCTCGGCGAGCTATTCACTGTAAATTAGTGTTCATGTCATTCCCGTTGTGTGTGTGTGTATCAGTGTATGTGTATGCTATCTGCAGGGGCAGCGTGCATTTGTTGTAGAGGGATCTGAAATCGTTTGTTGGGAAATTTGTTAGCATCTCCAACAGCCGCTGGAGCTCGGTTAGCGATTGCGCGCGCGTTAAACAGATTTGCTATTTCACATCTAGATGTGAAATAACTATCTCACATCTAAGTCTAGAGTCGTTGGATCACCTGTCTTTAATATTTGTGCAAAACGTGATGGTGTGGCTAGTGCGCTCGCTCGTTGAGCCTCGTCTCGCGCGTAGCTCATGTCCAGGTGCTAGTGCCAGGTCGGGCCGTTGTCGTGTTTCTTTGGTGATATTGGGCTGGCAGGCCATTTTTTGTCTATAGTCTACTCACGTGCCCCTCATCTAGTGGGCCTTAGTTTTTTTTCACCGTCGGCTGTGCTTTTCTATTTTCTTTTCACAAGTCTGTGAAACGACTCAACTCTAGTTCTTCTATTTTTGTAAACTTTCATTTGACTCTCACTATTTGTCTTTTTGTTTGTTTCCGTTTTATTTATTTTTTGTTTTGTTTTTTCTATTTCATTATTTGTTTTCAATTGTGAATTAGTTTTAAATTCGTGGTTTTTTGTTTTTATTTTCATTTTCTACTTTTTTTAATTTTTTCCTTCTTTCTTTATTTGTTAGTTTAAAATTCATGAACTTGTTTTCACTTTATCATATGTTCGCTTTGAATGTCGTGCAAATCCTGATCGCTGGTTATTTTTGTCATGCGCACTATTGTGTCGCGTCGTGTGATTGGTGTCTACTTGTCGACATGTTCGCGCATGCGTCTTTTGTTAGGCCATTTTTGCCGCGCGGTCCGGGCACTCGTTTCGGTTTCGTTTGCTAATTCTCATCTAAATGAGAGTTAACAATGTTTTACCCAACTCATATACTGTTAGGTACACGTGTTTCTGAGTCGTGCTTGTTGTCGTTGTGTCATGTTTTCTGTTTATCCCTCGTAAAGCAGTGAGACTAGATATCATATTTTTTAGTGGACCGTTATTATGTTTTGTGTATTGGTTTTTTCTGTGTGGGCTTAGTTTTTTTGGAGGGCCACATGTCTTTTTATTCCCTTTTTGTTTTATTTTTGGTTTGACCGTGTAGCTAGATTTTTTTGTTTCAGATTTGCTAAAATCAATCTAGATGAATGTTTAGCTCTGTCTAGGTCTATAACTGTCTTACTTGTTTGTCTTAATGTTCGTACAAACCAAACATGCACGTCCGTGTCCACTCGTCAATTTTTTGCCACACGTCCTCTTGTCCCATTTTGTTTTGTGTCATCATGTTCTCGCGTTTCTTTCCATATGGACCCATATATGTCATTGTTTAGGGGTTCGACGACGAAGCTTATCCCCATCTTCTCACTGACGACCTTTGACCCCTGTTATTTTGCCTGTGTTTTATTTTGCATCCCAGTTATAGGTCTACCCTTGACAGGTTCGTAATTTCGTAGTTGTCCCAGGTGCAAGTTCACCCTCGACTCGCAACTAGGCTCATACTTTTCCCAATTCCAAGCGCTCTATCTTCTATCGTGATTGCCGCTATTTGTTTTTTGCGTATCTTGTTGTTGGCCTAGGCATGTTAGTCTTCGCTTTTGTCCCCTCGACTCGCAATTGGCGCTTGACCATTTTTTGTCCAAGTTGCAAGCCCACCCTCGACTCGCAACTGGAACCTGATCATTTTGTCCCAGTTGCAAGTCCACTCTCGACTCGCAACTAGGGTCCGACCATCTTTTGTCCCAGTTGCAAATACATTCTTGACTTGCAATTGGGACTTCACATTTTTTGTCCCAGATGCAAGTCCACCATCGACTCGCAACTGGGGCTCAACCTTTTTCCCTAGTTGCAAGCCCATCGTTGACTCGCAATTAGGGTTTGATCTTTTTTTGTCCTAGTTGCAACCCCTCGACCCGTAACTTGGACCTGACCTTTTTTGTCCAAGTTGCAAGTTCACCCTCAACTCGCAACTGGGGGTCCGACCTTTTTTTGTCTAAGTTGCAAGTATGCCCTTGACTCGCAACTAGGCCCGACATATTTTTCGGGATGCAATTTCACTGTCGACTCGCAACTGGGGCCCATGATTTTTCCCTCCTAATTGCAAGTCCCCAATCAACTTGCAAGTGAGGTCCGACCTTTTTTTATCTCTATTGAAAGTCCAACCTCAATTCGGGGCCCAACCTTTTTTGTCCTAGTTCCAGATCCACTCTCGACTCACAAATAGGGCGAGACTTTTCTTTTGTCCAAGTTGCAAGTCCACCCTCGACTCGCAACTCAGGCCCGACCTGTTTTGTTCGAGTTGCAAGTCCACCTTTGACTTGCAACTGGGGATAAACTTTTTTTGTCCGAGTTGTAAGTTCACCATCAACTCGCAACTAGGGTCCAACCTTTTGTTCGAGTTGCAAGTCCACCCTCGACTCGCAGCTGCAGCCCGAGTTTTTTACTCCCAATTGCAAGTCCACTCTCGATTCGCAACTGGGGCCCGACCTTTTTGTGTTTAGTCGCAAGTCCACGGCCGACTCGCAGCTGGGGCTCGATCTTTTCTTGTCCCAGTTGCAAGTCCACCCTTAACTCGCAACCGGGGCCCAACCTTTGTTGTCTCAGTTGCAAGTCTAAACAGAACACACAACTAGGGGCTGACTTTTTTAGTCCCAATTGCGAGTCCACCCTCGACTTGCCATTGGGGGTCCGACATTTTTTTGTCCCAGTTGCAAGTCCACCCTCGACAGCGAACAAACCGCAGATGAGCCGGCCCAAGTAGCTAGGATATGTTTTCTGTTTTGTTTTGTTCATGATTTTTTGTTTTTTTTAATTTTTTAATTTTTTAATTTTTAATTTATTGTTTTTTTCTCTCCTTTTAATTTTTCTATTTTCAAAAGTTAATTTTTTTTCATTTTTCAGATTATTTTGTATTTTTTTATAAATTTACAGGATTTAATAAATGTTCCAAAATTCATAAATTTATTCATTATTCTAAAATTATTCGCATTGATTATTTTTTAAAAAAATAATCAAAATGTGTTCATCTCTCACATGTTTATTGGAAATAAAACTAATATACTAGCGAGATTATCTCCGTCGTAAGAAGAGAAGGATGCGAGCTATCGTGTAGTGTAGCATTGTAGTACGACTAGCAACAACAACAGAAAGAAACGCGAGTTGTTGTGTAGTATAGTAGTACAACTAGCAGCAACAACACGAAGGGACGCGAGCTGTCGTTTGTACTAGTACGACGGCTAGCAGCATTAGCAAGGGAGCGGCGGAAGCGGTAAGGCTAGCCCATGCGAGCATGCTCTGGGTGGCCCTCTGTTTTAGTCATGCTGGGTGATTCTCTAAAAACAAAAATTACACTAGGCTGGACAACAACAAAAATGAAAGACAACAAACAAAAAAAATTAACTAAGATAATATCATGTTAGATGTGAGATATTATCTCACATCTAGATGTGACATGGACGGACCCCACGTTAAAACCCATAAATTTGCGGCGCGGCGCTTATATAGCGCGGCGGTTGGAGATGCTCTTACTAGTGTTAGAGAACTGGACTCCGTAGTATCTCGTTACAGTTTAGCTAAATAACAGTCGACAGATTTTTGAAGTGGGGTCAGTTGATTTTTGAGAGTTGGCCGGAGGAAAGAAAGGGGCTTGCCGAAGGGTTACCTCATTATCTATCTTAGGGTTTAAGGTGAGGGCGGTGGTGGACGGCGGTGGCGCACTTCGCCGGAGAAAAAACCCAAACACGAGCGGGGCTAGAGGGATGACCGGGGGCGGCAGCTAGACCGCCGATGGGGGCGGTTCCGGGGAGGGCGGGGCGGCGAGGCGGTCGCGGGAGCGCCGTCGACGGTTCGGCCGGTAGCGCGATTGATGATCTAGGAAGAAGAAGAGGTGAGGAACAAGAAGGTTCAGGCGCCGTATGATATTCATCCAACGGTCCACAACGATCGACGGGCCCTAATTGAAAAATCAGTCGACTGATGTATAGCCGCATCCATCTTGTTACCTGTATCAACAAGCATTCAACGATGGAGAATTCCACACGGAGTATGTATGTTGTTTCAAAGAATCTTAATCATAAACGAATTTGGCGATCCTAAGCTGTTCTCGTTGGAGATATCAAGAATTGGACAGTTTCTGACTAAAGTGCTACAAAATGCAGCATACACACTTGGAGTCACATCATTCAACCATAGGCATATGATACGGTTGGCCACATCCAACACGGCAACACCACTAATTATGCACGACCGAAGGATCCGAGCGGACCCTCAGACCTTGTGCTCACGAAAGCTCTGCATCCAGCCTCCAACCTGTGCTCCATCTTCTTCAACCTTGCCATGGGCATCAACCTTTGCGGCGGTGAAGGTGATGCCGATTTTGATCTCGCCGTGGTACGAGTTGTCGGCGGTGACCACCCTATACTTGGCCGGGTTCAGCCGCGATGTGCCGCTCTCCATGCCTATGCTGATCAGATCGGTCACATTGATCCTGCATCACAGAGATATATTCAGTAATTGGATTCTGACCTTTCTTTCTTTCTTTTTAATTTGCCATTTTAGTTATCTGCTGACGCTATTGCTTCGCAGCAACTAAGAGTTTACTCACGTTGCTTGGCCGAGGAAATCGTCGCGGGAGAAGGTGTCGTGGTCCATGATCCGGAAGACCAGCTTATCCTGCACGTTGGCAGCGGAGGAGTTGATCTGGAACCTCAACACCTCGTTCCAGCTCGGGTTCCTCCCCGCATCTGCATCAGAAGGCAACGTTAGGAAATCGCCATAGCCATAGGTATGGATTGCTGGTGGACCAACTGTCCAAGTCAACGGTGGACCAGGTCGAGTGCGATTGTGGAAGAAGGCACTGACCTCGGGCGGTGCTGCTCTTGCGC